CGCCACTACGATTCTGAATGGAAGTCGAGTGCGGGGGCGCATCCCTCAGACGGGATTGATTGACGCCAAAAACTTTATTCTTTATCCTTTATTATTAATATCTTATCAGACGACATTGATTCAGCCTACCTAGGTAATTGCCTGCCCTATTTATTTAAAAGTCTACAGTATTTGTAATCCTTCCCATCAGAAGGACGTCTCTATTAAGCGGTATCCAAACACCATGCAATTTGATGGCTTCATGGCTTCGAAGAGGAGAGTATCAAAAAAAAAAGTAATAAATGTAATAACAAAAAAGGACTCAATAGTTGTCGTGTAATGAATCAAATACTATGAAATATAATGAAAGCATGTAGAAACTTATTTTACCAACTCAACTCATCTCCCTTACCCCTTATGAATGCCCAAGCAGTTTGCCCCTCCTTTCAACTACTTCACGCTTCTTTACCAGAAGAAATCACGGCCATTAAAAACTAAGTCTAATAATTTGCAAATCGGAGACGAATATAGAATGAAACTTTCTAGTAACATTGGATGGCTTACCGAGATGAAATAGGCAATTGAGAGAAGTGCTGATGAGCGATAGTTCTTACAATGGCCGACCGAGAAGCGACGATGATTGAACGATGCATATCGCCACCAAAACCGAATACCTGTGCCTAAAAAATTTATTTCTATATATAGATAGCATTTCATAGTACCGATACGGTATCGAACACTGGCTAGAAATTTTAAGAAAGAAGGTCGGAGAAAAGGCTTTTATCAAGAAGTGTTACTCTACAGTATTTTTTGAGGTTCCTATGAAATTAGCAGAAAAATTAGAACAGCCTCTGATATGCGGACCATCATTTTGAAGTACAGTTGAAGGCACTACGGCATGGGCATCGTTAGCGGCGATAAAAGACACTTCCATGATAAGACTTTGAACTGAAAGCCCCCTACTGTTATGCTGCTTTTTCTGGGACTGAAGTATTACTTAATTTTACAAAAAATATAAATGACTTCAAATCAGGCTATAAGTAAAACCCACCGGTTCTAAGTCAATTTCAGAACGAAGTTTAGCCAAATCTGGCAAAATGGCAGTACAGTGGAGTTTGAGCAGGTAATAGTAGTATTTTTCGTCAGAAAATGCGTTTTTGTCATAGGAATGTTCTAATGAGCATATAAAGCATCATCGACAATAACTATAATCATCTTTCAGACTCATAAAAGTTCGCAAAAATTCACTTAAAACATGAAAAATAGGTGATTCTTTTGTAGAATGGCTTACATAAAAGCAGATC